CCCCACTAAGGAACCTTTCCCAACAAAGTCTCCCCCACGAGAAATAATAACTTTATCAGATTCAAAAACAGTTTAAGACCTGCTTTGTTGAGAAGCGCACCAGAAACTAAGTTTCTACGAAGGAAGGGTACATACAGAACATTGTTCAAGGCTAAGGTTTTTTCAGAAGTTAGGTTAAGGAGAATTTTTCCTTTACCCATAACTCCAGCTGTAGTGGAGTTACCCATGTAGACACACTCGCCATCAGCAGATTCCTCAAAGTCGTGAAACAACTCTTTATTGGCGCAAAGATGCCTTGAAGCGCCTGTGTCCAGTATCCAGTCAGTCTTGTTAGCCACCATGTTTGCCTCAACAACCATAGCAGCAATGACATCACCACCCTCAGTAAGGTTGGCTTGGGCTGGAGCTTTTCCTCTATTCTTTGAGCTTTGTCCTTGTCTCTGGTTTCACTAAAAAGCCTTGTGACCAATTTTGCCGCAGACATAGCAAGGTAATTTTGACTTTTGAATATGGCCCTCCGGCTTATCGAAGTAATTATGCTTCTTCACATGTCCTTTCTTCTGGCCTTTCTTCTGTTTTCCTTTAAACCTGTCTTTCACAAAAGTACTAGAAGATTCCACAAGGTTAGCTTTAGAAGAATTAAGAGAGAAAGATTTCATCTTATCCTTAAGCCGTTCAGACTCCTCATCTTTGAGACGGTTTGCTTCCTCAGTCCTCATGTGACTGATTAGTTCTTCAAGTGTTAAGTTTTTCTTCTTGTGTTTTAGTTGATTCCTGTAATCATTCCAGGAAGGTGGAAACTTTTCAAGCAAAACATTAGCCTGAAGAATCTCACACATCTCCATGCCCTCGTTCAAAACATCAGCAGTTAAGTTTTCATACTCGTGAACCTGTTCCATGATTGGCTTATCATCAACCATCTAAAACTTGATCCATTTTCCAACGACATACTTCTTTTTTCCTGCATCATCAGCACCATATTTCTTCTCCAACTGTCCCATATGACTTTAGCAGATTTATAATTTATAAACAAATCAAAGAGAGGGTTAGTCATATGGTTAAGCAGATGCCCTCTTACTGTTTTATTATCCTTTTCAAATTTCTTCTTAGCAGCATCATCAGCAACAACAATATTATCAGCATTAGAACTATTAGCAAAAATATCAGCAGGAGGATCGTTAAACAAAATATAATCAACTTCTAATTGTTCAAAGAAAATTAAAAGATTCTGGGACCTACGCTTATAATTATTTTCATCTAAAGGCTCAAGCTTTGAGAGATTAGGAAGTGTTTTGTTCAAAGTGGTGGCCATTAGTCAATATTATATGTAAAATCGCTTTCAAATTGTAAGGAAAATGAGTAGATAATATTGACTAAGAACAAGAAGGAAAGAAGACTAAAACTTATCAAAAATACTGTGTCGTGGCAAGCCACTGCCTTGAAAGCGATTTCGACCCGACTAGGTGAAAATCGTTAAGGCCGGTCGCTCCCCAAGGTTCCACAGCAGCTCCAAACATGTGCACTCGTGGCTAGAAGTTTAGAATTTGCACAAAACAGTTGCCCAGGAAGAAGAGAAGATGAAGGTATTTTATGTGTTGGATAATTCACAAAGAAGACTAGGAAGAAAGGAATGATTAGCTAGATGAATTCTTGGTTAAGAATTGAGTGATTATGATGGCTAATTCATAACCTATTTATAGGAAATTAAGGAGGTTGTGTTAGAATAGTCGTGTAAATAGGAGTAAATAACTCTAACCCTAATCCAATATGTATTAGGAGTAGGATATGTTATGTGTGTATATATAGGGCTCATTGTAGCATTGTCAATATATCAATAATATTTTTCTCCCGTGCATTCTCACATGGTTTCAGAGCTAAAGTGAGAAATTGTCGATGTGCATCATTCCAGCGCCTCTGGGAAGAAAGACCTCGTTGCCGTGCAATTTTCCGGCGACTAAAGAGGCTGTTCATAACAAAAAACCACTTTTCGGCAGTGTTGTGCAAAAACCAACACCACCACGAAGTAGATCGGCCTCCGCCGACCAACCCGTAAAAATTTCTCCGTCAGAAGACCCCCCACGCGCCGCCACGCGCCGCCGGAAGAAATTTTCCGACGAAGCTCCGACCCCACGCGCCGGCGCGTGACACCTTTTCCGGCCACTTTTTCGCGAAATTTCTTCAGGACAGCTTGCTCTCCTCACAATTCCGAGTCCATTGGTACTATTTCCAACAGATTCCGATAACTTTGGAATTTTCCGGCAAGCTACAGTGATTTTTTCGGCGTGAACAGTGATCCCAGCAATTTTCTGCTTTTTCCGACACGATATTATAATGGAATTCATACCTGAAGCCTTTAACTCACAATCCGTTGGATTAAATGCAACAAATCCAATCCAAATGGTTTCTTTACCGGATTATATTGAGTTCCTTCAGTACAAAGCACGTAAACAGACATCTTCAGGATTAACCTCTGTTGTTCCAACAAATAGTAGCATGACTGGTGTCTCCCAATCTTCACCTTCTGAGTCTTGGGTCATTGATTCAGGTGCATCTGATCATATTTCCGGTAACAAATCTCTTTTCACTAGTATCTCATATTCTCAATCTCTTCCAACAGCACAATGGCCAATGGGTCTCAAGCCATGGCAATTGCAATAGGTCAAGCAAGTCCACTTCCTTCCTTACCTTTAGACTCAGTTCTTTATGTTCCTGGTAGTCCTTTTAATCTCATAGCGGTTAGTCGCTTAGCCAAATCACTTAAATCTGCTGTTTTATTTCTTGATGACCTTGTTTTTATACAGGAACGCAGTACAGGGCGGATCATTGGTACCGGACGTGAATCAGATGGACTTTATTACCTTATCCTTGCAAAATCACATGGACTCGCATCTTGTCTTGCTCCAATAACTTCTCCCGTTACTGATTCACCAGATTTATTACATAAACGGTTAGGACATCCCAGTTTGTCAAAACTTCAGAAAATGGTACCTGGCTTATCTCACTTGTCCACTTTAGAGTGTGAGTCGTGTCAGCTCGGTAAGCATACCCGCTCTCACTTCCCGCGGCGTCTTGATAATCGAGCAGAGACACCTTTTACTTTAGTCCATTCAGATGTTTGGGGTCCTAGTCGGGTTAGCTCTACCTTAGGATTCCGCTACTTTGTCAGTTTCATTGATGATTATTCCAGGTGCACTTGGATATTTTTGATGAAAAATCGATCTGAGTTGTTTTCTATTTTCCAGACCTTCCATGCTGAAATTCAAAATCAATTTGGGGTTTCTATCCGCACATTTCGTAGTGATAATGCCCTAGAGTATTTGTCTTCCCCATTTCAGCAGTTTATGAACTCCCATGGGATTATTCATCAAACATATTGTTCGTACACATCCCAACAAAATGGGGTAGCTGAAAGAAAGAATAGACATCTTATTGAAACTGCTCGTACCCTACTCATACAATCTCATGTTCCGCTGCGTTTTTGGGGGGATGCAGTTCTTACATCTTGTTATCTTATTAATCGTATGCCATCTTCAGCTATCCAAAATCAAGTTCCATTCTCTGTCCTGTTTCCTCACTTACCTTTGTTCTCTCTTCCACCCCGTGTCTTTGGGAGTACGTGCTTTGTTCATGACCTTACTCCAGGAAAAGATAAGTTAGCTCCTCGTGCTCTTAAGTGCATATTTCTGGGTTACTCGAGAACGCAAAAGGGATATCGATGTTATTCTCCTGACCTTCAGCGATTTCTTATGTCTGCTGATGTTACCTTCTTTGAAACCCAATCATACTTCACAGGTTCCGTTAATCACTTAGAAATTTCCGAGGTGCTACCTGTTCCTTCTTTTGGAGATTCAGTCCCTATCTCCCATTCATCTCCCTCCATAGCTCCACCGCCTACAGTTCCAATTACAGCTCCACCACCTATAGCTCCAGTATCACCACCAAGTCCAGTGCCACCACCTAGTCCAGTTCCACCAACTATAGATCCAGTGCCACCACCTAGTCCAGTTCCACCAACTATAGCTCCAGCGCCACCACCTAGTCGAGTTCAACCTTCTACAGCTCCACCACTCCTGACTTATCATCGTCGTCCGCCCCCAGCATCAGGCCCAGCTGATTCACGTCCTGCACCTGACCCTGCTAATACTGCGGACTTGTCTCCTCTTAATCAACCGATTGCACTACGAAAAGGTATACGGTCCACAGTTAATCCTAATCCTCATTATATCGGTTTAAGTTACCATCGTCTCTCACCATCCCATTGTGCATTTGTGTCATCTTTGTCCTCTGTTTCCATTCCTAAGTCTACAGGTGAAGCACTGTCTCATCACGGATGGCGACAGGCTATGATTGACGAGATGTCTGCTTTACATACGAGTGGTACTTGGGAGCTTGTTCCTCTTCCTTCAGGTAAATCGACTGTTGGTTG